TCTCTCTCTCTCTCTCTCTCTCTCTCTCTCTCTCTCTCTCTCTCTCTCTCTCTCTCTCTCTCTCTCACACACACACACACACACACACACCTCTCTCTCTCACACCCACACACCCACACCCACACACACACACACAGTGTCACATGTAAGTGTTGTTTCCTTAGTTGTTACCATAACGGCTCTGAAGTGTGGTTTCTTTATCTTTTTTTTTTTACTCTTTTCAGCTGATTGCATTTGGATTCGAACTTGGGTCTGATTCATGTTTCAACAGTTGAGGGGTGTTCCAACTGAGCTAGGCCCGTGGGTGAAGTGTGGAAAAGAATTGAAGTGTGGTTCTTTTTGCTTCTGCTCTCCTTTTAACTCCTGATGACGTTTGTTGAAACTTGAAACTGGTAACAGACAGATGCTGGAAGCTCCACTGCAGGCATTGGAGCTGCTGTGTGAAGAGGACAGAAAAGATGAAGCAAGCAATGAAGAAGATGATGACTCCTCCCAAGGAGAGTCTGCAGGGTCAACACAGGCCTTCAATGCGACAACTCCTCCGGGTCGATTCTGGTCTAATGTCCGGGCCTGCGGGAGGGATCACGGCCGAGTCCCTGGTGGCTGACGCCGCCGCCAGCTTGCAAAAGACTGCATGGGCAAACGGAGCAGGTTTCGAACAACAACAACAACAACAACAACAACAACAAGAACAACAACACGAGTCACAGACTACGATGGCGATGAGAGGAGGGGGAGAGAGCTACACACATCTGAAACTTACAGCGGAGAAGATGATGCAGGAGCAAGCGTGCGCTAGGACGGACCTCCAGCTTCTTAAAACGAAGCTTCAGAAATCGGAAGAGAGGCGGCAGCTGGCAGAGAGAGGAATGCAAGATGTGAAGAACGAGAACTCCATGCTGAAAGTTGCGCATCAAGAAGATGTAAAACTGCTAAAAAAACTTGAGACGCAGAAAGAGTCCGCAAAGATGTTGTGCGAGTCTATCACCGAAACGATCGCCTTCTTGGAAACGCAATTGAAACAAGGGGAAGAAGCCAAGAAGACGTTGGAGGCCAGGCTGGAAGAGCGGATGAGGCGGTTTGAAGAGTCGAAAGCATTCGTCGAGGATCTGTTGGAAAAGAAAGCGGCTGCGGAGGCGGAAGCTCAGAAACAGCATGAGGAGAACGATTACTTGAAGAAGAATGTTGAAGAGCTGGAAGGGCAAGTAAAGGACTTTGCGGAGAAGCTGGTGGTAGCTGAAGAAAGGGTGGAAAAATTGGAAGGCGAAAAAGAGGCGGCCTTGAGAGAGTTCGCTGCGGCCAAGGAAGCAATCGAGAACAGTGAGCATGAATTGAATCGATTGCGGGAGAATCTGGCGAGCCTTCAGGAAGAAGTCAAGCAGCAGGCTGAGGATTTGACGGTAACACGCAATAAGAACTTGGATTTGGTGGAGGCAAAGACGAGGACGGAGACACAGAAGCAGAACCTGGAGACGAGGTTGGAGATATCGATGCGCGACTTTGAGGAGCTTCAAGAACGATCGAAGGCTCTGTCATCAAGGGTATCGGAACTCGAAACGACGAACGCGATGGGCGCAAACAATGTCGAGAAGCTTCAAGCGGACCTCGCGCGAGTCAATTTGTCGTTGGAGGAGGAAAAGGCGGCGAGAGAGAGCGCTCTTCGGCAGCTGAAGGAGGCGGAAAACAAGTTCCAAGAGCTTCTGCTGTCCAACCATAGCCTGCAGAAGCAGCTATCCATCTCTGAGGCGAAGTCGCAGGAGCTCCGGCGATGGAACGAAGAATATCAGAAAGTGGCTGCAGATAAGGACAGCACCAGCAAAGAGCAGTTTGAGAACTGCCGAAAGCTGCTTGACGAGTCGCTGAATGACCGGCGGGCTCTCGAGGAGGGAAAGCGAAAGCTGGAAGAGAAGTTGGCGTCGCAAGCGGGTACCATATCCGATCTGCAAAAAAGCAGGGAGGAGCTGATGACACAGTTCTCAGGCTTCCGCCAAACGAGTGAGAGCGAGATGCGAGAGGTACAAGAGCAGCTGAGGGAGAGGGAGGAGCGGTTGGCTGCGCTGGTGACGGAAAAGGAGAGCATGCAAACTGAACTGACGGATGAGCTGGTTGAGCTGAGGAAGGAGCAGGAAAAACTGCACGAGAGCAACACGTCGAAGGAAGAGGCTCTGCAGGCACTGACAGCAGACTTGGAAAAGTTGAACTCAGAGAACATCAAGATGAAAGAGGAGCTCGCTTCTGTGGAAGAATTGAAAGCGTCGTTGGCCAAGCAAGCAGAGCAGCGCGTGGAGGCAAAGCAAGAGGAGCTCAGCAAACGCTTGCGAGACCTGTCCATGAGAAATTCCCAAGAACTTGCTGAAATGAAGAAGAGGTTTCAAGCGGAAACCGATCTCCGCATCCAGGCGGAAAGGGAAAAACTGGAGAACGTAGTTCGGGAGCATGCCCTGCTGGTCAACCAGAGGGAAGCAGAATATGCCGCCGGTCTCAACAGAGCGCAGGCGGAGTTGCAAGCTGCCCAAGCGAAGGCTATGACCTTAGAATCTACCAAGGACCAAATGCACCTCCTAGAGCAAGTGAGGATCGATTACGAGGAGAGACTGAAGAGGGCAACGGTCAGCGTTCAAGAATGGGAGGTGAGATTCCAGCATGCACAAAGTCAGTGGCAGGAGCAGCTACGCACGAAGGACGACGAGTGTCAAAGGAAGCTAGTGCAGGTACAGGAGTCACTCGCACAATACGAAGGGTTTCGGAAGGAACAAGAGAGCATCATGGAGAACGAGAGGCGGCAGTTTGAGCAAACTCTTCAGCATGCGAATACTGCGCTGCAATCCACCGTTGCCGAAATGGAGGGAAAGGAAAAGCGGGCTGCCGAAGAGCATAAGAAGGCTCTGCTAGATGTGCAGCAAGCTCTTTTAGACGCCCAGGCGCAAGCCAGGAACGCGGAGCTGCGTGCAGAAACAGCCGAGGCGTGCCTGAAAGTGGCTGCAAACATTGAGACAAGCGTTGGCAAGACGGCTGCTGTGGGTGAGCCATCCCAGCAAAAACACAACGATGACATCGTTCATGACTCTGTGCAGCCAAAATTGGATCCAAGGAAGTTGCAAACGCAAAGCCCGGCGAGGTCGGGCCACTTGTCTCCAGGGGAAATTGAGGGGCATAAGCAGCAGATTCAGCAGGCAAGAGAGAGGGGTGTGGTTGAGAAGCTGCCGGCCCGGGGCCAAATTGGTGAGCAATCGAGGCAAAAGGTTCGGGTACCTCCACTTCCCTCTTCGTCAAGCCTTACCGCGGCAGAGGGAAATGTTAACGCGACTAAGTCAAGAATGGCACCCCCTGGTAGAAAACGGGAAACATCGTGTCCTGTGACAGAGGAAAAAGGCGCTAACCACTTCGCCACAAGCCCTCTTCCAATCAGGGGCACTGATAGTGCTCGGGGGGGAAGCCGCGGGATCGCCGGGACAGGCCTGCACCTCGGCGAGGATATCGGTCAGAAAGAAAGAAAAGGCCATCCAGAGGACATGGCGCAGGGTAATCCGAATGCAGACAACCTCCCACCCATCAACAACACAAAGAAACGACAGAAAGCAAATGCGCGGAAGGCTGCCAATCAACAAGTTGAACCGCTGGAGACTAGTAGCCCCCATGTCAGCCCGTCTGTATCCAGAGGCTTTCAGCGTCAAGTCAGGAAACAGGAGTATGAGGTGACAGCTGATGGGACCAAGACGATAACTGTGAGGAAGAGAAAGAAGAGCACATTCACATACGAGGAGACACCAAAGCCAGAGAAAAAACGCGAGAGGAATGTGAGGCGAAAGATGACCCAGGCCGAGGAGAAGAGGAACACCACGTTCTCATCCACACCTGGTCCATCTCAATCCAAGACACCGCACATCGGCGATCTGTTTGGTTGCGGGTCATTGGATCCTTATGGAGCTAATGCGGATGACCCGTACGCGTTTTGAGAGTCGTGTCTTTGACACAGATGCGCGAGGTAATTGTATAATATGTATATGTATTATGTATGCACCCCCCAACCCCCTTTTTTTTTTGTAACTGACCAGCCCCAGATATTTCAGAGCTTTTTTTTATTTGTCTGATTCAGTCAAGATTAGAAGTCAGGTCTGTCTACCAACAGCTACATGGGTGCTCTGTTCCGCCGCATGGATGTTGATTGGAGTGATGTGTGCTCAGTTGGAGCTAAGTGTGCGAGAATTGCCGAGGCGTTCGGGTGTTGTCCATGTGGAGCTGAGTGAGGTGTGTTGTGTTGAGTTTGGCCTCTACAGGCTTGCAGGGGTGGGGTGGATATCACGACCGGTTTAGTTCCACTTTTTTTTAGCTCACGACAGGAATGACATCCTTCGCCTCTTTTTTTTTTTTTTTTTTTTTCTCTCTCTCTTTTTTTTGAGCCATTTGGCCCATTTCTCAATTTATACGTGTCATCCTTGCACAGGCGCCATGCAAAGTCTTATCTGCATCGTTGCAATTTCCTTCGCCGCTTTTTTCTTTCCCACAGGACGGAAGCCGTATTCAGACGGATTCGCCAATCTACAGAGAGCTGTCTCAACCTCCAAGATGTTTGAATCGTGTTGTTTTAACTTGGTTCACCTTTGCTTGCTTTTTTCCCAAAAAAACAAACAAACAAACAAACAAAAACTTGTTTGCTACCTCTCCACGCCGTCTGCACTGAGCTGTCTGTACAAAACTCTGTAGTGAGCTGTCTGTACAAAACTCTGTAGTGAGCTGTCTGTACAAAAATCTGTCGTGAGCTGTCTGCAGTGAGCTCACTCGCTGTCTGAAACGCCTCGAAGGAATGGCATCCTTCCAATTGTGCGCTTTTTTAGTACCTCCCCGAGCCCCCGTAGTTTTGAGCCGTGTGTGTGCAGGTAACCCATAGATATTCAAAGTCGGTCAGGTTAGCAAAAAGACAATCACAGGTCATGTGAATGATGTGATGGACAAAGAATTTCGCAATGGTTCTCTCCTCCATTAAACTACCCATGGGCCATGACACAATAATTGTTGATTTACTTGATCTCTGGCAGTGATCCTCCGTCACACAAGTTGTACCTGGATCTCCTGGACTGTCCCTTCTGCGGTCGGCTGTTGGATTATCCGTGGTAATTGGAGCCACTTAGAAGTAACTTTTTGAGTCACCTTTGAGTCGCTTTTGAGTAGCTTTGGGGTCATTTTGAGTCACTCTTGAGTCACCTTTCGGTCACGTTTAAGTCGATGTTGGGTCAGTCTTGAGTCGCCTTTGAGTCACTTTTGAGTCAACTTTGGGTGACGTTCGACCCACTGTTGAGCCACCTTTGGGTCAATTTTGGGTCACATTTCGGTCACTTTTGACTCACCTTTTGGGTGAGTTTGAGTCATCTTTGGGTCACCACCTTTGAGTCACTTTTGAGTCACCTTTTTGGGTCACTTGACGCCCCGCAGGATATGGTGCATTATCGATGGGCTGCACTGTGGAGATGCCAACTCCTCCCCAGGAGGTTCTCCAGTGCAAGAACCACAGACACAGAAATTACTCGGGTCCTCTACCGACCTCAGGTCATCAGAGAGCGACAGCCGAGATGTAGAAAGCGTGAAGGAAGACGTGAGAGGACTGTCACGACCGTCCTCACTGTTTGCAGCCGACAGATCCGAAACAGGTGTGGGACGAGGTTCTTTCGAGTTCTCTGTGATCGTCACTAATTTTACGCCCGATCCGCCTGCTCCACGATGTCTTCCCTCGTGCAGTCCAGTGAACACACTCCTTGCTGGCCGCATGTGGTGCAGGCGGTATATGAGCTGCTGATTTAGCACCTCTTGCTTCAGTGACCGCTGCGGACCGCTTCGGGCCTCGTCTGTATGATGTGGGTCTTGGTTCTCGTCTTCAGTATCGACCCAAGGTTGGGAGCAACCTCCTTCGCAGAGAGCCGCTTCCGGCGCAGGGGTCCTCGACAGAGGACTCGTAGCGAGACTCCAGAACTGAGCCGGGTCGTAAAATTCGGTAGCGCTGTCAGCAACCACAGCTCCATCACCTCCTTGCATACAGCCTGTGTTGTTCTTGCTCTCATTCCTGGAGGTTGGGGCAACACTGCCATCGCCGCCGACGCCACACCCTCCTCCTCCTCCTCCTCCTCCTCCTCCTCCTGCTCTTGCTACTGCTGCTGCTGCTGCTGCTGCAGGGCTCCTGGATGAGTGGTCTGCAATGTCAATGGTCTCTGCATGGACTAGAAATTGGGCTGCCTTATCGGGTTCTCTGGTGCCCGTTGTCGCGGCCGCAGCAGAAGTAGCGTCAGGCTGGGCGCTGCCGCCAGCAGCTTCTACAACAGATTCTGCCGGCACGTCCACCGCGGTGGAGTAAGGACTTTCAGAAAGACCACAGACCGCAGACAAGTTATCGGCTGACGCATTGGGTACTGTGCTGGCAGTTGTGCCAGGAGCTCCATCCGTACCTGGGTCCATTCCCGGGTGCGGTTGTTGTGTTGCCAAAAGCTCTTGGCGGTCAATACCGGCAGCCTGAGGTCGTTCGTTAAAGAGGCTTGGAAGCTTGGAACCAGGATCAACAACTGGACCAGGATGTACTAGACCCAAACTTGGTTCCAGACCTGAACCGGAGTCGGCATGGTGGTCGATGGTGGAGCTTCCAGGCTCTTTCCAGGCAGGAGATTCGGGTGCCGTGCTTATTGACGGAGAAACCGTCATGGCCTGGCAACAAATCAGGAAAGGGTTCGAGCAAGATACCGTATTGTGAGGAATGGAGGCACAATTATTCCGTTCCTCCCTGCTGATCGAGACGATGCTCTCCATGTCAGCGTCTTCAACTTTTCGCTCCTTACCGCCGAGTGAGACTTCCTCCCAATCGGTAGTCCAGTCAGCGACAGCATCTCTGCCGTCATCCATGGTACTTATCTGCCACAAATAGGGGCATTCTGCAGCTATGGCATCTACTCTTGCATCGGACTCCCTACACAAAGCAGCATTTTCAGAGTACCGTGAGAGTCTCTCTTTGCGATCATCCCAATCAAAATCCAATTCAAACATTTCAGAGCCGTCAGACTCTCTGGAATTACGAAGGCCGTCAAGTTGCTTGCGAAAAACATCTTTCTGTCTCTGAGTGGCACCAGGATCACCAGTCGGAGTCTGAAATTCTTTGTTGCCAGTCTGCTGCAACCGTCCAGACTCTGAGTTGGTGCAATTCTCGCGGCTACTCTCCCACCCGAACCATATCGACTGCTCTGTGTCCGGCTTCTGTCCACTCGCAAAACTCTCTCTTCTACAGCAATCGGGATATCCGGAGCCCGGGTCCTCAGAAGGGGTCGGCGTTGCCTCGGTGGAATAACCGAAATCGATCAGGGTTTTGGAATTTTTGGCATTTTTTGCTGAATGCTTTTCTCCCCTGGAACCACCTCCGCATGGAGCTTCTTTGTTCGCATTTCTCCTGCCGTCGTCGCCTGTCGCGTTTTCCCTTTTCGCAGTTTTCTGCCTTCTTGATCTGTTTTCCTGTTCTAGTGTCATCCCGGGCTCCTTCCATACGTCACCGGCACTCTCAAGCAGAAGCGTTAGAAGCGCTTCTATCATTTGCGGCCCGTCAACAAAGTTTTTCGGATACACGGTAGCGGGCAATTGTTTCTCACTGCTATCATGAATCTCGGAGTAAACTGTACCCGCATGGTCCACCTTCACCGCGGATCGGACAACAATTGAGCCTGGGATTTCAGCGTCCTCGCAAACCACAAACCCATCACTCTTCACACCATACCTCAGATGCAGATGGTTAGCGAGCGCTTTGAGGGCAATGGCAAGTGTGAGTGGAACCGGCTCGGTTTCAAAACCCAGTTCAGTTCCAGAGCCGGTTCCAGGTGCTGCATCTGGTCCAGCTGTGGAACCAGGCTCAGTCGCTGAACCTGCATCGGGTCCACAACCTGGTCCAGTTGTTGATCCTGGTTCTCCTGCTGGACTTGCTTCAGTTTTGGAGCCTGGTTCTGTGGCTGAACCTGGTTCTGTTTTCGGACCTGGTTCGGCAGAGGGAGTCGATCCTGAGGGATTACTGCCATGGTTGTTGTCATCAGGGGGACAGAAATCATGTCCGCTTGTTGCTTCGGAAATGGGCGGCGGCAAGGTCAATGTCGTTGTAACGGGGCTGCTGGCTCTGCTGGGCGATGACGGAGACTGAAGGGGGTCTGACCCCTCTGCTGGGGTGTGGACCTTTCCAGAGCCTGGAGGTGAGAAATGTGACTTGCCGTTGTACGCAGGGCTCAGAGGAGAGATGTCGGTGCTGCCTCCTTGCCCTGTTAACCCAGTGATTTCCGTGTGGAAAGACACATTTGGAAGATCTGCCGGTAGTGGGTGTTTAGCGAGGAATTTGCGACGCTTTTCGTACGTGAGATCCTGCATGACACGGATATCCCCACCGCAAATTTCACCCAAAACTGTCCGAATAAGCGCTTGAGACTCGTCATCCAAGGGTCGGCCTTTTTTTAGGAGACCCGATGCGACAGGACTTCCGCCATACGGGGCCTGCATAGAAACAAGGCCCGCAACTTTCCCCTTTAGATCAGCTGAATACACAGCGAGGGCCGCTGCGGAGTCAACTGCACCTTTCCCATGACCCAGAATGACCACCTTCTTATGGTTAATACCCCAGTGGAGATCTTCTATGTACTCTTTGATCTGGTACGCGTTTGACTCGACGGAGGCCTCGCACCGGATAGGCATGACATAGCAGCTGAGTCCGAGCGTCATCAAGTATCGTTTGGCATCCAGAAATGACAGTGCTCCTAGACTGCTGAACAGACCTGGAACAAGAAGGTAAACCAGATTGTCCGGGAGAGTGTGAATGCCGTGATAGATGCGTGCGTTAAGCTGATTGAACCGGCCGGTCCTGTCTATAATAGCAGGGAGCCCTGGTTCCCGCCGAAGCCATCCAATATCATCATGCGATCCACGTAACGCCGTATGGATATGGGACAAGAGTCTATCTACCCACCCAGAAAGCCCAGGTCCGCGACTGTTCCGTCCACTACCGGTACCGACCGTCGCAGGAGATGCACTTCGCCTGCCTGATCGGAAGACCGTAGAGAAAGCCTTACTAGGGTCAAACAGCCCAGCAACTGCTTCCTTTGTACTGCTCCCAATCTTACCCTTCGCGTTCGAACTCAAGCTTGGCTTGGGGCAGTCTGTTGACGTCAACTGTTTTGCATCAGCAGCAGCTAACAACTCGGTTGCCACTGATGTCTGATTTGGGGTCAGAGAGGGTTCAGGTGTTGCGGCGGAGGCCTCAGCATACGCAGATTCTGACTTGATGGCACTCCATGATCCGGTATGACTGTTCGATCTGCTTGACGTGCTCACCGATGATGTCTGAGTTGGGCTGACAGGAGGCTCGGGTGTTGCGGGTGAGGCCTCAGCGTACCCAGCTTCTGAGTTGATGGCACCCCATGAGCCATTACGACTGTTCGATGTGCTTGCAGTGCTCACAGAGGATTCAGGATTACTGGCGGCGGAAAGAGGTGCCTCCTCACATTCTCGGCTTCCGTCTCCTCCCTCAGCAGTTTTTAGAGTTGACGATGGTGAATCATGTGACTGGCACTCTCTGCTGATTTGCTCCACCTCCCCCAATGCCCACTTGCTGGACATCATGCATAGGCATGCAATGTCAGATCAGGTCTGTGTGCGAGCAGAATGTCCGGTCACAGGCATTACGCCAGCTCAGCCCTACGGGTAGTATGCTCGCACACCAGCGACTGCAGTTTGCAAGCCATGTCAGGGCAACCAGTAGCTGAGCCGGGGATCGTCCTCCTCCAACATGGCAAACACAAAATTCATATAAGTTCTATCAGGTACTAAGTGAGTGGATACGCTTGCTCTTATCATACTAGCCCAGAAAAGTAGTACACTGACACAGTGCTTAGGTGCCAAAATATAGTGTGATGCACTTGGGCCAGCTTGAGATGGTGTGGCAGAGTTGGAGCCGCCCTGCAATCGAGATCTGCGACCTGGGCGCACAGTATACTAAGTGCATAAACTACACTTAGTGCGCTTTGTACTAAGCGCATAGGCCGCACTTAGTACCAAGCACGCAGGCTGTACTTAAGCGCATAGTTTGCACTTAGTACTAAAAGCTGCACTTAGTACTAAGCCCATACGCTGCACTTAGTACCAAGCCCATAGGCTGCACTTAGTACTTAAGTACATAGGCTGCACTTAGTACTATGCACATAGGCTGGTTAGTGAGCACGCAGGCTGCAATTAGTTCTAAGCGCATAGGCCGCACTTAGTACCAAGGGCATAGGCTGCACTTAGTACTAAGCACATAGGCTGGACTTAGTACTGAGTGCATAGGCTGGTATTAAGCACATAGGCTGCACTTTGTACTAAGTGCATAGGCTGCACTAAAAATACCAAGCGCATAGGCTGCACTAAAAATACCAAGCGCATAGGCTGCACTTAGTACTAAGTGCATAGGCTCCATTGTGTACTAAAAGCGCGCAGGCTGGTACTAAGTGCATACACTGCACATAGTACTAAGAGCATACGCTGCATGTGCGTGTGTGCAATATATACTTGTGCTGGCCTAGGCCTATGTACTTATTATTGATTGCATTAGCTGAGTGTAGGGGTGTGCAATTATGCTTGCACCACCCACCCGTCTCTTTTCTATGTACAGGCTTACTTGTCTTCTCAGCAGGCTTGTGCCGGCTCTCAAAAATTTGTATCGGCTGACTGTAGGGCCTGTGGCGGCTGTCGGAATTCTATGGTATGTAAATAGCATGTAGCAAGGTAGCACTTGCACACCACATGATTAACAGGGGGTGTTATTTTCGGCGAATTTTGCACTGAAACTGGGTACTTGATGGAAATAGATGCCCTGTATCCAAATGATTGACAGCAAAGATTGCCCTCGAACCACCTCTTCAGGGGCAGCGATGGTGAAGGCTTCCCACAGCTCCACCAGATTTCCGGCTATCATGCATGCACGGGGGAGGAGGGGGGAGGTGGGGGGGGAGGAGAACCTTGATCTTCGCACAGCTTCAGAAGGTCAGGTTTCTTATCGCCATGCAGGTCCTTGATCGCCATCAGCTTCGTAACTGCAGTTCAGCTTGCTAACTGCAGTTTGTTACCTGCAAGTAGAAGTAGAGTTACTGTAGAGTTACTGTGGAGGTACTGTAGAGTTACTGTAGAGTTACTGTACAGCACAATACATTAACTCTACTTGCAGGTAGAGTTACTCTATACAGTAACTGCAGTTTGTTACCTGCAAGGCGAAGTAGAGTTACTGTACAGCACAATACAGGGAGAAAGTTACTGTATAGCAACCCAGGGTTACTCTATTGCAACCCAGCCAAGGAGAGGAGAAAACATTTGATTGCTTCCCCTTGGAGAAGGATTTACCTCTGCTCTACCCCTATAGGGTCTTTCTTTCTTCTACTCAGTGACACCCATCTCAGGCTCTTTCAGCCATAATGGAAGGAAGCATTGAGTGAGTCAACAATGGACCCAAAAAAAAAAAAAAAAAAAAAAAAAAAGGGCGGGAACACTGGACCCAGTTTCCAGCACTTGTTCTAAAGTCGTATTGGGTGTGGGAAAAAAAAAAAAGACAAAAACAACAGCGGACGCGGCAGGATTTGAGTTAAAAAAGCTAAAAAAAAAAAAAAAACACCAAGTTGCACTGTGCTCATCATGGTGCGAGTTTTAAATGGCAATGTCAGACAAAATAGTTTTCTTTTTTTTTTCCCTTTCTGTAGTTATGACATCTGTGCCTCTGTCACGGCCACGGTGGTCTCATTGCCTTTTCAAACTCGGTGGCTATTTGTTTTGGCGGCGCGCGTGTTTCTTTTGCCTACTCGAAACTCATCTGACAGTGTGCTGCAGTCGCCGTTGCCCCAAAAAGGGAAAAAGGAGAGGAGCAAACTGTTCCACTATTTTGCAAGTTTCCTGATCTGCCGGGGGAAAAGGAACTGGACTGACCCTCCCAAGAATGGATATGGAGACGGGCCCATTAAGGACCAGTTTTATTTTTTTGCGGGGGGGGGGGGGGGGTCGATTTTTTGAAAGGAGAGGAGCAAACAGTTTTTGTCACACAGCTGCAACCGAGCACTTTCCTTTTTGGGGAAATTGTGGCTGTGACACACTTCTAGTTTGAAATATTAGGCAATAAATTTGAAGAAAAGACAAAGTGGCGCTGGCGCCATAGTGTGAGTTTCGAAATGCGCACGTTTTAATTTAGCGGGGGGGTCTAAAACTGCGCCAGTCATCATTACCCCCAGTGTCGCTTGGCAGATTTAGGGGGGTCTCCTTTTTGGCACCATAATTTCGGGAACGGCTAATTTAGAAGTTGCCTATTCTGAACGTTGGGTGTGCCTCCAATGAGTTAGCCCCTTTTATTTTTTTTCCCTTTTTTTTCCCCTTATCTTTTAAAGGGCGGCAGCCTTGAGATATCATCATTGAGCTGACCGACCCCAGGTAATTCAGAATCATTTTGCTCTGCTCGTCTGATTGTATCTGGATTCGAGAGGCGGTGTGTCTTTCAACAGCTCATTGGGTGTACCAACTGAGGTAGGCTCGTTGGTAATGGAGGACTTTTCTGTAAGACGTCAAGATTCAAGACCTGATCCGTCACCTCCTGACTAGATCCTGTGTGGCTGAACTGTGGCTCAACTGTGTCTCACACTGTGTGACTCAGCCTTGTGGCCCCCCGTCTCACTTCATCGCTCTGTGACTCGACTCTTTTCCACCTTTTGTCACCTTTTTCCACCCTGTTTAACAAAACCCTGGGTGAAAAAAAAAAAAAAAAAAAAAAAAAAAAAAAAAAAAAAAACTGCGTTGTCTGCTGTCAGTTCCCCCCAGTCCCCCTTCACCTTTCTGCCACTCCCCCCTTTGCCCCCCTCTGTTCCCCCCCTCTTCTTTTTTTTTTCACCAACAAAATAACCTCCGTTATATTCTGGGAGGGCACAGGTCAGGTTGCTTGCCACCCAGTTTGAGCAAACCCTGGGTCGTCTGCTGTCACTCCACCCCATGTGACTCAACCTTCTGTCACTCCACCCTCTGCTGTGACTTTGTCACTCACTCCACACTGTGCGAGTCACTTTTGCGTCACTCGGTTGTCTGTCGCTCCATCCTCCGTCGCTTGCCATGCAAGAACTCGAGGACCCTTGTTGAATGGTGCCTAAGGGCTCTTATAGGTACCATCCAAGCTGCTGGAATGGTATGACTGTATGAGATAAGGTGCGTTTGGGAGAGAGCACCATACACAGGTGACAGCTCTATCTATTAGCTGAAAGAGAGGTTTCCACTGGTGCTCGTTTCTCAAATGGTAATATAATACCTATTTTTATTTGTTTACTACTTGTTTCCGTTTGTCCTATCCCTTGAGCAGCATTTGCCCGGGGGGGGGGAGGTCTATGACGCGCTGCGCTCCGGATTTGGGTCGAAGTTTTGGTGAGGGGCGGCAGATGAAGGTGATTGAGGGCAGGGGAGTGTACAGGGAGGTGCGCATACCGAAATGTTCATCATCACTCCGGATTTTGTCGAGATATGGACCCAAGGGCCTTATCTCCTCATTCCGGATTGACCTCCACTAAATTCGGAGTGATGATGTCACAGTAGGGACCTGTCAGTCTCAACTGGCCAGCCATTTTTTCTCCACCTTTTACTCCCCTTTCGTCTCATTCTACCTTCTTTTTTTCCTTTTTTTTTTCTTTTTTTTAAATGTGACAAGTGTCAAACTGTTGTTTACACTTTTTCTAAGGGCGTCGTTTGACACTCCTCGGGGCATCCTCGGGCTCCGAGGATGAATCCTCAGAAAAGTTTAGGGTTTTTGTCGTCTTCGTTCCACTCATCCTCGGAGCATCGGTTTTAGGACTCATCCTCGGAGCAATGTCAGAAAAAAAAAAGGAAAAAAAAAAAAAAAAAAAGTTGTGCTTCAGGCTTTCAGCCAATAGGGGTGCCGCCACGATCAGAATTCTCTGTTGTAACGTCTCTCTACGTGCATGCCGTCTCCTCTTCGTGAAACACAGATCCTCAGGCTCCAAAGGACCTCGCGAGGTCCCTTGGAGCCGAGGACGATTTGGCTGGGAAATCCTCAGAGCCCAAGGATTTGTCCTCGGAGTGTTTTCACATTTCTGTTCCGAAAATCGGCTCCGAGGACAGGTGGAACGACGACGGAATCCTCGGAATTGCGTCCCCGAGGAGTGTCGAACGACGCCCCAAGTCATGGATCTTGATCTAAATCTAGATCTAGATCAAGTTGTTGTTCGTTATTCCTCGGATTACAATAATAACCCACATACCCATGAGTGCCCCATTTTGCTCCCGTTTGTCTCAATTTGCGGCCTCCCTTGCTCCGATTTTTCCTTGGCAGCGTATTTGCAACATAGAGTCCCTCGAGGGTTTATTTTCTCGTGCTTCGCTTGTCCAAAATATCTCGGACTGCAATATAGGCCCCCCTTATCCATTTCTTCTCCCATTTTCATATGAAATCTTCTCACATTGGCCCTACTTGTGCTTTACACAAGTAATGCTAATATTATCCACCGTAAGATCTTGATCTTGACGGTGCCTCTAACTTTAACTGTCTATTCTCCATGGCGGCCCACTGTTTCCTTGGGACAACTCAAGTCTCTGTCACTACCCCGCGGTAGTCCCATCTTCTAGTCTCATCGGTGGTCCCGTCGGCATAGGTCCCAATTTTTTATTAT